TGGCCTGTTTATAAACACTATTTGGAAGACAATAGATATCCCTCTTTACAGTGTGACCTTTTAAGATAATTTGCATAGAAAATACCCTGAGAGAGTGTGTAAATGAAGTGATTAAAGTGCCGGGGAATGGTCTGTCCTCAGGGTAACCCCCTCTCCATACACACACACACACACACTCTGCGTCTGCCTCCCAATGTCTCCCATTCTTCTATAGAGATCAGCATTTCCTCACACAGGAGCTGCAACCAGGCCTGCCCTTATGTACTTATTCTTTTTGCTTTTAGAGTGCAATACATATTTATTTCTTACAACAAGTTGTGGAGGAAAGCAGAAATCTAGTACTAACTTTATTAATAATCAATAATAGCATGGAACAAGAAAAATACAGTGCACAGAGAGGCTGAAAATGATAAGAAACAACTTGCAGCGACCTTTACTTTTTGCAGCCAATACCTTCCCCAAGAGCATTATCCAAAGTGCTGTGACTACTTTTGTCCGACTTAATGCAACACCAGCACATTATGAACTGCACTCAACTTTTATGTTGTACACATTATATATAATTGTCTTCAAGCCTGCAATTTGACATATTTTCATGCCTCTATAAAGTTTTGAATGTAGGGCAGACATTTCTCAACCAGAGTCCTCAGTGTCTACACCACAAGGAAAAAAGGGAAAAACAGTAGCTTGGAGGCACTTCATTGACACATTTTGAGTTGTGGGCTCTTCTTTCCCAGTAGAAAGGCCTATATATATACCCAGCATCCCCTGTGGGCCCTTCTTAAATCGATGCCAGCCGGCCAAGATTAAACACTTGACAGTTTATCAAGATAATTTGGACTCCCAGCACAACAGAAACAAGACTTCCTGTATCAAGACCCCGTTGATTAAGTGGACAGTGAACTAGTGTAAAGGTGAATATATTAAAAGAAAATCAATTTTCTTGCAGAACACAGGGCAAATCTAACATGTTGGTGCCCAAATAATTCGACTTCCTCAACAGAAGTTTAAGGCCGCTATGACCCAGAAACTAGCAGGCGGATTCATTTATCTCAGCTAAAGTGAGTGTGAGTGCCACTGTATGGGACGCGAGTGGGTGGGGGACTGTTACAGAGGAGAAAAAGGTACGGGGGATGGACAAGGAAGTGGCAGTGGGGTCTCTCGTGGCTCTGTGGTGCTCTACTGGTGTGTGGTTGTGGGAGGTTTGACATAAGTGGAGCTTTCAACCCAGGGACTGGTAACAGATGGTGTTGGGAAATTAAGCTCCTCTCTCCACAGCCCCGTCGGCCCATCCCAGGAGTCTCTGCCTCTCTGTCTTTGTCTCTCTGTCTCTCTTCGTCTCTCTTCTTCTCTCCCCGCAGCGTCTTTTTTTTTCAATGTCTCACTCATCCGTCTTGCTCCTGTTTCTTATCTACTGGCCCCCCTCCTTTGTTTCAGTTGTTGGGACGAGTGAAATCGGTCTCCCTCCGTGCTCCTCCTGTGTTTTTTTTGTTTTTGTTAAAACAGGAAAAGGGAGGATGACATCAGTGGGATAGTTAGCAGGCTAATGCAATAAGCGGGGTATTATCGAGAGGGTGACGGGAAGAAAAGAGAACAAAAAAGATGATGTGATGGGGGGATAAGCTAAAGGGTTGAGGGTGGAGATGAGAGATAATTGGTCCGACTGTGATGTATGACGTTGAGCTGCAGTAACAAATGTGTTGCAGGCTGGTGTGTTTGCAGGCACACCTACGGTAGCTGCAGTCAGCATCGGGAGACAGTGCCAGGGGCCCCCAGGGACCACTATACATACCAAATAAAACCAGATTAAGGACTATATTCACCTCTGATTTCCTTTAGAGCCGGAAGGACAGAGAATATTCCTCTGCCTGCCTACACAACAAAGGTGTTTTTGCAGTCAGGCTCATGATAGATGTTTATGAGGAACACATGTTTACGCCCTCACAACAGGTGCAGTTTTAATGGCCTGTCTCTCTCCATGTAGAGAGTTGAGTTGTGGTATTATAAGGAGAAAATGGACTGAATTACTGATGACTCACTGTGTGATTGCCAGCATGTCCATGCAGATATCAATAGATGTCAAAGACTTGCTGTTTACCATGTCATAATATTGTGCATACCAGTTTATTAATTAATGTGTAACAAAGTGTCTCTAAACCTGATATTATATAGTGATTTAGCTTATATTTCTTTCATGTTTGGTTTTCTACCAAATGTAGATTTATAATTACTAAGCTGCCTGTGTTTGTTTTGGAACCATCAGCTCCAAACTGTATGTTTTTCAGTGGCACTGTGATCATTTTTGCACGGGGCAACATGGTGCTGTAAAGTGTGGCCGGGCATTCGAAGATGCTATGCATCTTAATGAGGTATGTCTCTCTTGTTGGCCTCAGCAGGGGAATCATCACAGCTCATTTTGCAGTCCTGCAGTGTCCTATCAGCTTTGGCAGCCTGCACTAAGTTCACTCCATCTGCCAGTTGCTAGGTGCTGATATATAAAATGATCTGTGCCTTGGTAGCCCCTGAGCACCAGGGAAGTGATTTGCTTTTGAGGACAAACTGTGTTTCGTGAATCCTAATTATCCTCTTTGCACCACCAGCCTGACATGGTGTTGTCATTTATCCCTCTCTGGAAGTGGCAGAGGGGGGAAGAGACTGCAGCAAACTGCATCTGCCCAAACAGACAGAGCTCCCATAGATGTACTGTATAGTCGCTGAAATGCAACAATGGTATTTTCCATCAATCCATTTTCACAGGTTCAGGCAGAGGTGGAAAAAGATGATACCTGACGTCTAATTCTGGCACTCTAACCAGTGTGCACATGTAAAAAAAAAAATCACTTCTCCGTTTCAATCATGTGAGGTGATTTGAAACCACTCGTGCCCCTTTTTTTCAGACTGCAAACATGCTGTCTGGGGCGAGGACATCAGACCGGTGTAAAAGCGTGTCAGCCCACCTGCCTCCCTGCCGTCTACATCCTCAGGAATTCGCTTCACTTTTGTTGGCACGGAAGGGTGGTCTGTTAAGCAGGAAGAAAGGGGAGCAGGGGAATAATGTGGATGGTTGTAGATGAGGGGAGAAAAAGGGGTTTGGCTGAAGGGGAGGTAAAGGAGAGAGGGAGAATCAGGAGGGTGCAGTAATGAGAAAGGGCAGCAGATGTGAGTGACAGTATGATGGAACGCTCTGTGTGATAGCCATGCTGTACTCTCTAGACTCTGAGAGGTGTGTGTGCGTGTGTGTGCAGTCATTGAGGAATCGTGTTCATGTGTGTGTCCTTGGATTTTAGATTTGAGATGGTCCATCAATTTGCTAATTAAATTGAATTATACCAAAATGCAATATTATGCAGCATTTCACCCTCCTGTTGTAATAGCATGCAGATATAATTGTTGCTGCTGTGGTAAGCTCTTGTTTCATAGCTCTTCTGGTTATGATGTTAATAGTAATATAAATGCTAATCACTGGCTCCTTATTCACATTCTTGCCAAGAATTTGATATAAGATTGATACCACTCTAACTATAAGCAACCATCAGCATTAACTTAGCTTAGCACAAAGACTAGAAACAGGGGGAAGCAGCTAGCCTGGCTCTCTCCAGATAGGTGGATTTTACCTTTGGACAAAACCAGGCTACCTGTTTCCCCTTGTTTCAGGTTTTGACCTAAGCTAAGCTAGCTGCCTTCTAGATATTAGCCTTGTTTTCATTCCACTGTTATTAATATACAAACCCACATAAGACAGAAATACACACATGCACACCCAAGACCCTGAGACATGCAGTTACTGGGAGAGACGTTGGAGTGACAGGGGTGTCAGATAGTCAGGCACCCTGAGCAATTAGAGCTTGCCTTGCTCAAGGGCACCTCAGCAGTGCCCAGGAGGTGAACTAGCACCTCTCTGGCTACCAGTCAACCACTGTACTGTGGTCCATGCTGGACTTGAACCAGCCCCCCTCCTGGTTCCCAAACCAAGTCCCTTCTGACTGAGCTACTGCAGCACAAATTAACACATTATATCTCAAAACCTGTAGTGTAAGAATGATAAGTTATTGGTTTACGAGCCGGACTATTTCTTGGTTTCCAGCCTTTTGGCTAAGCTATGCTGAAGACTTAAAGTGCTGGCTATAGCTTCATATTAAACAGATTAATATGTGAGTGGTATCGATCTTCTCATCTAACTCCCAGCAAG